GCCAGCCGCCAGGAGCAGAAGATCGGGAACGGGTGGAGGCTGAGGAGGAGCAGGAGGGTGGGAGATGACGACGAAGAGAGGAGGGGAAGGATGGTCTGGAGGACTGCATGATCAGATAAATCTACTTGTGCGTGAGCCGCGTCGCTTCGCGCGTTCCACCAGCCCGCTAGTGATACAAACTGTACGTACGCTGTTTTGCATGCAGAACACTCGTGTTCAGTAGCCTTCCGTGCTCGAGGAAGGCGAGGGGGCGGGGGTGCTCGCTCCCGCCCATCCAACCCTGGAAGAATTGCGAAGCAGGATGTGTACGAAATCAAGAGAGAGAAGCAGTGTGTGAAAGCAGGAAGCGAAGGAAGCGAAGTCGTTTGAAGCATTTTTTGATGACAAAGGGTACAGTTTTCAAGTGTATTGCTCTGGGGATGAGAAGGCGGACCTGTGACTCACCTTATTTGCACTGAGAAAAGAGGAGAAAAATGATAACCGGCTTGCGCCCCGCATCCGCCGGCAGGCGCGCCCAAACAGTGGACCGGGGCCCTCTTGCGTGTGTAGGTGCAAGCAAGCCCTGTTTGGGGAGTATGCGAGCACCGATTATTGCTGACGAAGAGCACAGAATTGGGACCAGAATGATGCATTGTCACCTCAGGCGGAGAAGCTGACTGCAATCTCACACCATTCTGCCGACCCCCCTAATGGGAGATATGCTGCTCACGATTTCGCATGTGTTGTTTGCCGCTCTCCCACGTGCTGCCTGCGTGTAGTTGATGCTGACTCGTGCTCCTCTTCCTCCGCGCTAGTTGCGGGGCTTCCTGGGGGCCTCTTGGAGGCCTCGGGGGCGGCCTCTTGAGAGCCTCTTCGAAGCTTCGGGGGGCTATGTGGGGCCCTCTGGGGGGGCTCTTGGGGGTCTCTTGCGGTCTTCGTAGGGGCATGTTGGGGGTATTGGGGGGCCTTTTTGTCCGGAGGGCTCCCAGGCCCACAACGAGTTCCTCCTCTTGGGCCTCTCTTGGGGCCCTCTTAAGGGCTTCTTTTGCCGTCGCCGTCTTGGGGGCCTGTTGGGTAGGGACGAATTCTGGGCCGCCTTGGGCCATCTTGGGCGGGTCTGGGCGGCCTCTCGGGCCGCCTTGGGCTGTAAGCTTATTGTGATACATTCCTTAGCCTATGAAAATAGCCCTGGTGATGTCCCACACTTCTCCCAGATCCCTTCTCCTATATTCCTTCTCCTACATCGTATTCCTTTTTCCTTTTTTCCCGGAAAGGGCGTAGGCCCAGGGTTCTCTTTTAGGCTGGTAATCTGTCCCCGGTGCCTCAACTGAGGTGGGCCGGCGGATTCTTTCCTTGATAAATATCGAGGTCGAGGTCGGCCAGCGGATTAAAGTTTGAGGATGTCTCAGGCGAAACGCTTGCTTTTGAAATCCCGATCGAGAAAACACAGGGTGCGGGCCACTCTTTCGTGTGTTGAGGATGTCTCGAGCAAAACGCTTGCTCCGCAGAGTTACCGAGGATGTCTCGAGCGAATCGCTTGTTTTGTAGAACTTGAGGGATCTGGGCGCCCCAGAGATTTGCCTTCTCCAGGTGCACGAACCCGTGTGTTTTTACGTATGTGCCTGTAGATTTGCCCTCTCCAGGTGCACGAATGCTTTTACGTATGTGCGTATAGATTTGATTTCTCCATGTGCTTTTCACGACCTCACCACAGCACGACCACACCCCAGCACGACCACGCCCCAGCACGACCACGCCCCAGCACGACCACGCCCCAGCACGACCACGCCCCAGCACGACCACCCCCCAGCACGACTACCCCCCCAGCACGACCACCCCCCAGCACGACCACACCCCAGCACGACCACTCCCCAGCACGACCACACCGCCTTGGTTGAGTGGTTGCCTGTCGTCGTGGAATGTTTCGTGGGGTGTCTCGTGGACTGTTTCGCGGGGTGTCTCGTGGAATGTTTCCAGGAAAACGTTGAAAACGGTCGCCCGTGTCTCGTGGAATGTTTCGCGGGGTGTCTCGTGGAAGTGCCCGTCGCCCAATACGGTGTCGTGAAAACGTTTCCATGCATGCGGTTCTATGTCCCTTTCCGGGTTCGTGGGTCCATCATGTCTTCTTATCCATAAAATATCCGGGGGGGATGTCCCAATAGACGTCTAGATGGCCTCCCAGCATCTCCAAGGTGCGCCAAGATGGCCTCCAAGACGTCAAAGATGGCCCAACAGGACCACCAGTATGGCCCAACATGGCCCCGAGAGAGTTTGAGAGAATCCCCCAAATACCACGGGGGCCCCGAGAGGACCTCGAAGGAACCTCAAGAGGCAATAATCATTGTACAACCCGTTTTTCTGATGAGCTCAAGAATGCCTGCCCTTCGGCCTTCGGCCTCAACGATTGCCAAGACTGCACAAGAGACCTTCAAGATCGCCTCCAAAATTGTCAAAGAGCCCCAAGGGGGCCGTGCAGATGCTCAAGCCTGCCGCCCAAGGTAGCCCCGAGAGACCACAAGAGGGCCCCAGATTTTTCAAGAGGACTTACTGAAAGGCCAGGACAAGCCCAACTATTCCGATAACTGCCTCCAGGAGCTCCAGACGGCTCAAGAGCGCCTCAACAGTACGGCCACGGAGAGCCCCAAGGGCGCCCCAAGACACCCGTAGAGGGTGCCAGCGCCCCCAGGCACAGCAGGGCAATTCTTGACGCTTCGCGTATCCCACCAGATACGTGGTGCATCGGCTGGTCGCCAGCTGAGCACGCTGTCGTGAGGACGCGTTGGAGTGGTTTCAACCCCTCCCCTTGGTCACCGCCACAGCGGCCAGCGGGCCACCCCCACCTGCGGGTTGCCCTGGTCCACATGGTACGTTTCAGGGCACTACAGGGGCTGGGCTTCGGTAAGGTGAAGACTGGCGCACCCCACCCGCTTCTGGTACCACCCGACGTCGGGCCTGGCATGGGCGTGTTCCTGCACAAGTGGTTCATCCTTTGGCAGGTCATCGCGGTTCCCCCGGCCGGTCCTTCGTACAGGTGCCTCGGTCAGCGTTTGCAATTTTGTGCCCCCGATCTTCCGAGTCGGATAAGTTGCACGCTGTGGACACAGGCGGCTTCGACGTCAGGTTCGCTGACTGGGTATCGGTCGCTCTCGCGTTCAAGTTCCTGCACAAGTGGTTCATCCTTTGGCAGGTCATCGCAGTTCCCCCGGCTGGTCCTTCGTGCAGGGGCCTCGGCCAGCGCTTGCAACTTTGCGCCCCCGATCTTCCGTGTCGGACAGGTTGCACGCTGTGGACACAGGCGGCTTTGACGTCAGGTTCGCTGACTGGGTATCGGTCGCTCTCACGTCCAAGAGCGGCAGACTTGACGTCTGCGACAGTGAGTCACCGCGAGTGAGGCTCCCCTCTGTGCCTTTCCCCTTTTCCTGCCGCCGGATGCCCTTCTGGCGTTTGCTGCGTCTCTCCTGTTCCCTCTTGCCTCACCTTCAGTGTGCGATGGACGGAGCTTGGCCTTGTCTTGGCCACCCCGTGCCGCTACAGTGCGGCGTGCTCCACGCCTTTTCGTGCTGCGTGGTTCGGCCGGAGCTTGGCGCCGTGTGGGCGACTGCTCCTATCCGTCCGCCTCCGGTACCGTGCTTGCGTCCCCATCCGCTGGGCTCCCTGCGTCGGTCCCCAATGAGGGTCACTTTGTCCCTGGCATGTGCACTCGCTACAGAGGCCTATGCACCTCTGCAGCCAATTATCTCGCTCTGTGGCCCAGATGTTATTCCCGCTCGCTGGATCTGTCCTTTGAGCCGCCGAACAAACAAGTATCCCACCAGCAGCGCATCCCAGGCTCACCATCAGCTTTCACCAGTTGCGTTGCATCACGGTTCGCGACAGCTCAGCCCCCTGGCTAGCTCACGTCGTCAATGGCGTTTGGAGCCTGGCGCCCCACCGGCGACTCACTCCACAGGCCTCGCGCTTGCCCCCATTCAGAACGATGGACTTGGTTATCCTGGTCCACGTCTCATACTGTTTAGGTCGTGCCATGGCAGGCACCGACTTCCATGACACTTTGTCCTGTGCGCGTGCTCGAGCTCTCAGGATGCCCCCCGCCGTCAGCTCCCCTTCAGCTTCGCGGCTGCTTTGTGAGTGGGCCGGCCGGCATGTGCCTGTTGTAGCTAATTAGGCTTGCCCGTTTGCCCAGACTCCCTGCCCGCCGCCTGCCTCTTCGCTTGCGGCCGCGACCGAAAAAATATCCCACCAGCAGCTGGTTCTTGCGGTCCTTCGTGATGGTGCTTCTGGATTCATCCTGGTATCGCTCCCGCGCCATTTTGGCTGCGCCCCAACCTCGGTTGGCTAATTTTGCATGCGCTCGCTCCTGGACCTGTTTCCTGGCAGCTGCAGGCCGCACCACTTCTCGCTTCCGGCCCGCTTTGGTGCCGCGTAGGCCTCCAGCGTGCCGTCGCGTTAGGCAAGTAGGTTCGCGCGTGGCCCGCCTGTCCCGTTTGACGCCGCCTGCGCTTTCGCTTGCGGCTGCGACAAAGAAATATCCCCACCAGCGCCTTCGTTTCGTTGTTTTTTCTTTTGTTTCGGCGCGGTCGCCCTAGCTTGCACGGTGTTCGACTCGTCTTCGCGCGCCCGCGTACCGAAACATATCCCCACCAGCCCATCCAGAAACGATGCCCATGAGAGTTGACAGCGGGAGAGAGGAAGAGACACGCAGAGTCAAACAGTGAGGCAGGCTTGGGAGGCTCCGTGGCCATCTCGAGCCGTCTTGGAGCGGTCTTGGAGCCGCTTGGAGCATCTTGGGAGCCATCTTGAGCCATCTTGGGCTATCTGAGCTATCTTGGAGGTCATCTTGGGCTCTCTGAGGCCGCTCTGGGGCCTCTTGGGTGCCTCTCGGGTGCCTCTTGGAGCTCTCCTGGGACCTCTTGGGGCGCTCTTGGAGCCCTCTTGGGGGCCTCCTGGGGGCCCTGGAGCGCCTGTTGCGGCCAGCCACGATCCTAGTGAGGGGTGTCAGAAATTGGCCATCCCAGGGGCCG